CATGGTTGGCCATGTTCTCATCAAGAAATAAAGTCTATTTGTCCCTTAAAGATGGGGCTGGTCTCGTGACCTGCCTAGACCAACAGGATGCAGCATGAGTGAAGGTGTGCCAGGTCTAAGCCTTCGCCTCTAGAGACCTCAAGCACGTATTCTTTCTCTCCCTTGAAGGTGCCTGCGCCAATCTGCTAGAGGAGTGAGATAGGTGGAGCAGAGTCAAGCTAGCCCTGTTACTCCAGCTAAGGCCCCAGGCAACATGAGAGGGCCCTGCCAAGACCCACATCCTTCAGCCATCCATAAGCACAGGATAAGTGTTGCAGAGCTTGTTCCAGAGTCCAGCTCAGATGAGCTAGCTGCCCAATCAACCTATAGACTCAGAAACAAAATAAAAGTTTATCATTGTATACTCTGAGGCTTTGTGATAGTGATGTAACAGTATTGTAACCATAGGTAACTGATACATTTGTGTCTACTATAGCTCCCCCACAACTGTGGATGTGGGATGTAGCCAATTAGGTCTATCCTTTCCCTGTCCTACATAGAACTTAGTTGCATATCCCACATAACAGTGTTGCAAGTTTTATATTGAATTGTTACCATTTATTTCAAATCGTGATTGCAGTCCCTGCCTATAAGCTCCTTAAAAGGAAGAACTTTTCTGTTTTTTTTTCTTTTTTAATCTTTTGGAGCCCAGCATAGGAGCTAAACATTCAATTCACCTGAAGTTGAGTCTCGTGTACTGAATAAGGTGAGGGATTCAATTGTCCCAGTATTATTTAATGAATATTTCACCCTTCTCCTCTGACCTGTGATACCAATTCAGAGCAGATTTCTCCTGCACCTACAGGGGCCCATAATCTCCGTCATGCTGCATGACTGCTCTTATTTACCAACATTTTATAATAAATTTTGTAGAACAAGTCCTGCCACCTTGCCCTTTCCTTCAAAATTGTTGTGGTTATTTAAGGCTTTTTATTTTCCCATGTACATTTTACAGCCAGCTTTTGAAGTTACACACACACTAGCGTTTTCCTAATTTTATTTTAAATTGCACTATATTTGTAATTTATTTGAGGAAGAGCTGTATCGTTAAAAATGGAATCTCTTTCCTTTAACACGATGGAATTCACCATTTCTTAGATTTCATCTCCCTAAAATAATATGTTCGGGATCCGATGTACCTCACCAGCTGCACTGTTACCAACGTGGTTGAAGACACCCACATCTCCCCACCGCTTCACCAGCGTGACCTCCACAAATGGCTCCCTCTCTCTGTGCTTGGCCTCCCCTAGGGGCTAGTCCTTTTATGGCAGCCAGGGTGACGCCAAGCGGGCCATTTGGACCGCCTAAAACCTCTTTACAACGGCGGTGGTGCCAAAGACTACGCTTTGAGAAACAGTCTGAATGAATGAAGGCGTGAGTGGATGCAGATTCTATGCAAGGCCCTGGGAATGTAGAAATGCTTAAGTAAGGAACCGTCCCATAAGGGAAGCCAAAATGGAAAGCGGAGGCCTCCACCCTCCGGAGGATGCACTTGGTTCACTATGGAGCCAGAGAGCCGGGCAAGCGCCCAGAAGCAGCCGGCGGTGACTTGGGGTCCTGCTTGGGGCGGGGAGACCGAGCTGCAGGTGCACCCGCCCGGCCGGGCCTCCG